GAACATCCATAAAAGCTCTTCAGTTAGATCTTAGAAAAGCAGTTTATGGCAAAGCATAGAAAACTCAGCTATGGGCCTCCAATGCCATCAGGTGAAATTCTTAACATCAGGCTTGGCAGAAGCTTGTGTTGTAGTTAGTATGATCATACAAGAATTCACCAATCCTAGGAAACTAGATCCAACAAAAAGGTTGGCAAGGAATGGCTAATAGGGGCTAAAGATGGCTCAAGACAAATTGTTATCAGACTCTGGACACACCAACGTCTCCACATCACTCCAGTTCTGGTCGGTCAGTCAGACTGTGTAGACACAACTCCTCTGTGGGGATTCTCATTCCCATGATGAAGTGGGCAGTCAGGTTCAGGGTGTGCAACTCTGTCAACACAAGGGAGACACTCCCACCAAACTCCACAGAGAACAAATCAAATCCAAGAGCAGGTGAAGATGACAGACAGGAGACTGATAACAGCAACCACCTCAGTGTTCCTGAATTAGAGTAATATTCACACACACACACACACACACACACACACACACACACACACACAGCAATATTCTCTCTGTGTCTCTGTCTGTATCTATTTCTCTGTCTGTCTCTCTGTCTCTCTTTCTCTCACTATCAAACACACACACCCCAAATAAATCATGAACAGAGTTTCAGAGTGGCTTGCTGGGAGACACAGATGACTGTGCTGTGGTGGCGAATGAAGAATAAAGAGCAGAGGAAGCAGCAGATGATCAAGAGATGGCTTAGAATACTGGGATTGCCCTGGACAACAGGGAAAGGCTTAGTACTTCAGGAAAAGAACCAGAAGCACAGCAGTAAAAACAGAGAAGCACAGAGCTATGCCAAAGCCGTGAGCAGAGGCCCCTAAAAGGTGCGGCAGATAACTTTTTGGGGGGAAGTGGGTTTATCTCAGGAGCACACACTTTCATATTTCATAGAGAAGAAATTGTCAGGTTCCAGTTTTCCAGAAATGGCTAGCGTGGTCAATATAATGATTGAGGTTTCTATCGTTATTAATAAAAAGATGGAAGAAAAAAACATGAGTAGTACATGTGAGTACAGAGATACAGATATTTGCTCACACAGAAATACCATAAAAGCATAAACCCAGAAGCCATGATGCATACAGAGAAACTGTATATGTATACACACACACACACACACACACACACACACACACACACACACACACACATATAAAGTATTGTCAACCCACAAATATGCCCTTGAGTTTTTCTGTTGTCATCTGTTGCTGCTCATGGGAACCACCCATTAGTCTGGTTTGTTGCCCCAATTAGACTCCCTTGGAGAAAACTAAATTTTTAATTTATTATTATTTAATAATTTAGTGAGTGTTCTTTTAGGGAGTAGGGGAACATATTGATGATTCATGGTGTAGTTATTTTTTGGGGGGGAGATTTATTATAGTGCACAGAATTCTATACACCTGCATGTCAGAAGAGGGCACCACATCTCACTATAGATGGTCTTGAGCTCTTGTGTGGGTGCTGGGAATTGAACTCAGGACCTCTGAAAGAGCAGCAAGTGCTCTTAAGTTCTGTACTGTCTCTCCAGCCCCCTTATTTATTATTTTTAGTTTTAATTTTAATTTATTCACTTTACATTGCTGTCATAGACCCCTCCCTCCTCTCCTCCTGGTCCTACCATTCTTCTTTCCCCTACCACCCCTTATCTGGCTCCTCAGAGAAGGAGATCACATCCCCTCTCCTGTGTCCACCAACCAACACCAGCATATCAAGTCACATCAGCACTGAGCGCATCCTCTTCCCCTCTGACCTGGGAAGGCATCCAAGTGAGGGGAAAGTGAGAGTAAAACTAGCTATTGGGTCAGGGTGAATTCATATGTGTGTTGGTCCTGCTGTGTTTACAAGGCCTTGTTACCCTCGTGTCCTTCATCCCCTCTAGCACTTACACTCTGCACACAAAGTTCCTTGAGCCCTTAGGGGTGGAGGTTGGCTGGAGACATCTCATTTAGTGTGGAATGGTCCAAGGCCTCTCACTGTCTGGGTATGGACTGGAAGTGGGTCTCTGGATTTGTTCCCCTCTGCTGCAGGAGGAAGTTTCTGATGATGGCCAAGCGAGGCACAGACCTGTGAGTATGGCTGTGTTCCTTTAGCACAACAATAGCATTTAGATTTCTCTTAAAATCCCTGGCCTGTGTAGACTCAGACTCCTGGCCACCCAAGCAGTATTGGATCAAGGTTTCTTCTCATGGAGCAGGTCTCCCGAATCCCAACCAGATATTATTTGGTCATTTCCATGACGTTTGTGCCACAAGCGCACCAGTAAATCTTGTAGACAGGTCTCCATTGGAGAGTGAAGGATGTATGGCTGGGTTGGTGTGTACTTTTCTCTTCCAGTGGCACGCAGTATATGTTCAAATTCCAATATCATGAACAGTGGTCCATAGGGAGTGAAGGTTCTACATAGGCGCCAGCTGGGATTCTCTGTGTCCAGTGACTTGTGGAGTTGTTGTTCTCAGCAATAGAATGTTGCCATAGGTTGGGGAGAGCCCAAGAGGGTGGACACAAGTTAGATGGTCCCAGGCCCTGCTTTGATCTAGCACAGAGTCCTCCAGAGTTCTGACCCCACAGGATTCTAGGAGGAGGTCAGCTCTTGAGTCACTCCTTGCTCTGTTCTTATTAAATTGAAATAAATACATAGTACTAAATTAAGTACAGCATCTATGTAAAGCTCATTATTAAGTGACACATGCTTGCCACGAAAGGGCACCAAGTCCCTTGACAGATGACTCTGTGGTTGGTGGGGATGGAACCAGGCACCTCGGGAAGAGAGAAGGATTCTCTGCTTCACAGAGCCCCCTGGCTGTTGGGATGACAGGCGTGAGACACTGAGTTTTGTTTCTTTATTTTTTAAAATGCATTCATTCATTCATTCATTCATTCATTCATTCTACAGCATTATGCCTGTGCACTATAAAAGGGCACCAGATCTCATTATAGATGGTTGTGAGCCACCACGTGGTTGCTGGGAATTGAACTCAGGACCTTTGGAAGAGCAGCCAGCTCTGTTAACCTTTGAGCCATCTTTCCAGCCTCGGCTTTTTTTTAATCTTTAAAACAGATTTATTATCTCTGTGAATGCATTTTTGCCTTCCAGAGACCAGCCCTGCTTTGACTGGGAGAGTCGAAATGACTAAAAAAAAAGGGGGCAGAGACCCCAGAATCTCTTCTCCAGGGACCAAGGACCAGCTGGACTATGTCAGATCAAAAGAATTCAAAGGGCACATTTTTCCTTCACACAAATGAGACTTCCAGCATCCAGGCCTGTTTACTTCCGGAAGCAGATAGGTGGGCCGATGACATCAGGAATCCTGAATCCCTGGAAGCTCTGGATCCTGAAGACAGCCAGTGGTGAAGGATGGGGACATTTACATGACACCGGGAACCAGGGGAAACTCTGTGTGCAGTGTGGCGACTGGAAAGGGCTTTGCAGGATATTTCTGTGTCCCCTGTATGTTTTCAGGGTTGATTGTTTGGTGTTGAATAACTAACTGATTTTATGCTCTTTCCTGGAAAGAATTTTTTTCTCACACTCTCAGCTTTTATTAGTTCCCTGCAGATTTTTGCATAGGATTAAAGACAACGGTTTCTTCCTGAACCACTTTTGCATGCCTATTGGCGTTTTCCATTTTTCACCTCATGTTTGTGCAGGTATATTGGTAAGCATTTTTTTTCTTTTTTTTAATATTGGTTTGTCTTATGAGTGTAGCTTCTGGTATTATTAGGAGACACTCTACCAGAATATACTTTGATCCTCTGCCTTATATAATTTTTCATCATCTGTTCTGCATGATCTCTGAGCCTTAGATCTGGGAATTGTTTTGTAGATTTATCAGGTGTGAGTGTTTTCCAGAATTCTGCCTTGTGATTGGTTGTGTTTTTCAGTCATGATTGCTTTTGCAAAGAAAAGCTTCTTCTGACAGTGGTGAACTATATTTATCTGTGTGCATTATTGAAAATATTTAGGTTGTAACATGTAACATATTCATGCATGGACTTACATGTATTATAGGGATTTTATGTAGATAATTCACAGTATGATTGCTTAAAACCCTTTCACAAATATTTACTGTTATTTGTTCCACTTCCTTCTTCATATTTATCCACCTTGATAATTAGGGTACTTTTCCCACATTATCCCAATCAGATCAATTGTACCTGCCATTATATTGCTTGCCCAACATTTTTTCTTGTTTCTACAGTTATTCCATGGTGATACTCACATCTGAAACTTTGGATCTAGATGCCCCAGTGTAAAGAATGAGAGATATTTGTCTTCTGGATATGGGTTACCTAAATTATAATTTCTTACTTACAACTATTTATATGTATGATATTTATCATGTTAAACATATTTATGATTTTCCATTTCCTACCTATTGTGAACACAATAGCAATAAAGGTGACTGAGCAAGTATTTCTAGAGTGGGATGCTGAGTCATTTTTACGTTTGTCTAGGAAAGAAGAGCAGGGCCAGGTAGTAGATTTATTATTTTTTTTCCTTTTAGAAAATTCTCTACTCTGATTTTTGGAATGGCTCAACTGTTTAAAAAACCCTCCCCCTTTCCAGAGATCTATTTTCATGCCTGTTCTATAAAAGAATCTCAAAAACCACCCAAAGCCCTGATATACTCCCAAAAATAACAAATAAAACAAATATTTAGTTCATGTACTGTTTATCTAAATTACTATCATGTAATTACATTTTGAATATGTATATTGTCCACAAATTAATAAGTAACATGAATATCTTACTAAAATTGTTTCAGCAGCAGCTTCTATTCTGAAACAGAATGTCTGTGATTGTGAGACAAAGTGAGGAGCTCTTATTTTTGTTTAAATATACATTTCAGAAAAAGGTTACTTAAAAGTACGTAAATAATTTAATTTTAGTATACTAATGGGTTTTATTAGAAAACTAATACATCAAAAGGATCAATTTTTATTTGCTATTTTTTGTTTTTAATACATCTCAAAGAGTTCTTATCAGGTCTTAAGAGAATAATGTAGCATTTAGGGAAAAAGATGCATCCCAGAAGTCCTGCACTGGAGGCCAAAGTGGAGAAGATTTCCACAGCAACCATGGCTTTGCCCTTGGTGCTCTGGTAGACAGGGATGAAGATAACCCAGACACTGCAGAACACCAGCATGCTGAATGTCAGGAACTTGGCCTCATTGAATGTGTCAGACAGGTTCCTCACCAGGAAAGCCATAGTGAAGCTCCCTAGGGCCAGGGTCCCTAAGTAGGCCAGCACACAGTAGAAAGCAGTAGCTGAGCCCTTGTTGCATAAAATGATGACTTGAGCATTTTCAGAGTGTGCATCTGTGTCAATATGGGGAGGTGAGGTTCCCAGCCAGACTCCACAGAGAATAAGTTGGATCACAACACAGATGGGAATGACAGCATTATAGACACCTGAGACAAAGAATGTTCTCATTGTTATCCCTGGTTTCATGACTCTAAAGGCCAGAATTACAGTTACAGTTTTTGCCAAAATGGTGGAAATAGCCAAGGTGAACACAAGTGCAAATGTTATTTGTTGAAGTATGCAGGGGGTTGTGTTTGGGTGGCCAATGAAGAAAAAAGAGCAGAGGAAACAGAGGATGATGGAGATGAGCAGGATGTAGCTGAGAGTCCGGTTATTGGCCTTAACTATGGCGGATTCTTGGTGTTTAAGAAAGATTCCCAAAACTGCAGTTGTGCTGACAGAGAAGCACAGAGCTGTGCAGGCCAGAGCCATGCCAAGAGGATCTTCAAAGGACAAGAAGGTCAATCTCTTGGGCAGGTAATTGTTTCTCTCAGGGTTTGGGTACTCTTGACTTGGGCAAGGGATGCACACCTGCTGATCTGAGGGGAGGAAGTGAATCAACATTTCAGCATTTACAATTATTTAGTCACTGCACATTTAATTCATGAGAGTGCTTTCCATTGATGTGTGTAGCCAGGCATATTCTGCTTTCTGATAATGCCAAGGAAGGAACTCTTTATAACTCCCATTTTTACTCTTTATCTTCTTTAATTAACAATAAGCTTTCTGCTGAAGAATTTACCAATTTCTCTAGGGCAGTGAAATATATATTACTCATATTAAGATGCAGTAACACTGTCAAGCAATCCTTCAAATGCTTTTTTAAATAATGTGAGTTTCTAAGTATGTATACAAAGAATTTTGATCACTTCCGTGTATAAAATATTCTTCAGTGATTCCATCTTTATGGGTTCTTTTCATTTTTCTTGTTACTCACATTTTCAGTGGATAGTTGTTACCCCACTTCTATATAATTTTTCTAAGGTAACGTGGGAATAAGTTAGATATGATCTCCATGGACTATAGAGGAATTCCAGTTTGGCAGTAAATATACAACACTTGCATCGACAAACAGCAGCTATCTGCTCAGATCAACCAGTATCTATCTCAGCTGTGGAAGTTGCAAATAAATTTCTATAGTGTTTGACATCCTTTGACTCAGGACAGGAATCATTGTTAATTCCAGAATAATCCTGGGAATTGTTCTAATTTTCAATCTTGTTCTTTCAGCAATATTCTGAAGACTAAAAAATGACCTACATGTCATATAATAGTACCATAAGTTTATAAAATATTAAATCAGAAGGGAGAATGACACAGCCATATTCACTGAAATTGTCGAGAGTCAGGAATCCAGCACAGTTGCTTGATACAATTCCAGATTGTTACAATCGCTCTTATTCTATATCTAACTTTTTTTCTATGTGTTACATTACAGGGCACTTTCTGAACTATGATTCAATTTCTGTTTTTTTTTTTTTTCTATAGAAAAGTAATGTTTGAGTCTTAACTTAACATTATCTGTCCACTGTTTGGAAATCTTCTACAAGGCTTGCAGATCATTAAGCACAGACAAGCAGATAGAGAGATGAGGCCATTATTTCAGGAGTTTTCTTGGGGTATATGCTCCTAAACAGTATATTGGTGCAGGGTAAACAAAGACAATATGCAAACCCTGAGAGGCCAAGAGATTTGTGTAAATCTCTTGTTTCTTTTATTATAGGCTGATAACTTCCTGTAAATGTTGTTTAAAGAGATGAGGCAACTGAGCATACATTCGTGATGAAATAAAACTCAGTAAATAAGATAAATTGACTACAATAGACTTTTTCTACTTTATAGCATAGATGATAATACATATAGTGAAGGGAATTATTTATTAGTATTTTCTATTCATGAAAGACAAGTTCATGTATTTTCTGTGTCTCTGGACTGCAATCATTCTGCAAACACTGCCAGGCTAGAAGCAGGCTGTCATTAGTAAATGTCATTAGTAAAAAAAAATCTCCTTTTTTTTAAGGAGATATCCTTTAGATTCCTTAAAGTAGAGTTATAGAGCTAATTATAATAATGTTTGTTCCTTTTGTATTTTTTAAATTGTAACTGAACTTGTAACCCTTGATATGTAATTGAAAAAACTCAGACACCCACTCTGAATCACTTGTGTAATCATTAGTCTGTGCTTGTACTGTGAAACTTGAATAAATAAAGAAGCACCTTGTTGATAGTAACTATGCACCACAGCCTGGGCATGCATTCTAGAGAGTCAGAACCACAGAAAGTCCTACATTTTAGAAGTCTGCTGTGAGAGTTCCCTGACCACTGCACCTGACTCATTCCCTACCCTCTCTGACACTTCATCTGCTCTGTGGAGCACCTGTATACAAAGACACTCTGACCCTCTTTTCCATGATAAGGACAGCCCCTCAGAAAGGCTCCTGGTACAGGCTCACAGAGAATGAACTGCCAATCTGGCCTCTCTGCACATGTGTAACGATTGTGCAGCTTGGTCCTCATGTGGGGCTTCTAACAACACATTTGTAACAGTTGTACAGCTTGGTCTTTATGGGCAACACTTAACAGCAAGACTAAAGCTGTCTCTGACTCTTTTGCTTGCCATTGGATCCCTTTCCTATAATTAAACTGCCTTGCGTAGCATCAATAGCAGTTTTGCATAATCTTATTGCAACTTTATATTCCAAGTCTATTTGATGTCCAAGGAAGGCTTCCTTTTTTTCTGAAATGGAAAGGAAGAGGGCACATGCATTGGGAGGTGAGGTGGGAGGGAGGAACTGTGAGGAGAGGTGTGAGCAGATGCTGCAATAGTACATGAACACAATAATATATTTAAAAGAAATAATAAGATTATAATAGAAATCAATGAAATAGAAGCCAAGAAAACAATACATAGAATTAACCAAAGGAAGAGCTGAATCCTTCTAAATATAAACAAAATTAACAGACTCTTTAATCAAGTAAATCAAAGAAAGAAATAAACAATTAGCAGAATCAAATTAACAATAAAACTAAAAAAATCACAAATGACAGAGAAAAACATTACTACAGAAACCAAAAAAATCAGAATATTCCAAAGAAAAATTAAAAAATACTATATTCCAGTAAGCTTAAAAATTTACATGAGATGGATAAGCTTTAGATTTGCCCAAGCAACAATGATTCAAACAGGAATTCAGAAATAATTCAACTACATAAATACATCCAGACCCATGAGAAATTTCAAAAGGTCACAAAAGCCTCTGACCAAAAAACAAAGGAAGGATGACAGATTAAAAAATGGAGAATCCAAGATGGTTTGGACCCGTGTGCACTGTATCTGAGAGGCAGAGGTTCAGAGACTCTGAGACCAGTGAGTGGACAGGAGGCTAGAGCCAAAGCATCAACTTAGGTGCTTCCAGTTCTGGATGGGACATCCAGAAAGTGGAATTGATCTGATCCAAGTCCCCACTGGTCATCTCCCAGGTCCAGAATCAAATGGACCTAATAGATGTCTACAGACCTTTTCACCCCATGTAAACTTCTCCAAAATTGACCATATAGTTGGGCACAAAGCAAGTATCCATGGATACAAGAATACTAAAATAATTTCTTGTATCCATTTACACCACCATGTTTTAAACCTGGATCTCAACAATGATAGAAATAGCAAAACACATATATACACATAGAACCCGAATAACTCTCTACTCAATGAGAAGTGTCAGTGAAGAAGTAAAGTAATCAAAGATTTCCTAGAATTCAATGAAAACAAAGGCACAACATGCCCAAACTTATGGGGCACAATGAAAGCAGTGCTTACAAGAAAGTTGATAGCACTCTTGCCTTCATAAGGAAATTTGACACATCTCATACAAGCAATATTACGACACATCTGAAAGACCTAGAACAAAAATAACAAAAAAAAATATAGACACACCCAAGAGGAGTAGACGGCTGGAAATAATCAAACTCAGTGCTGAAATCAATATACTAAAACCAAAATGATCCTAAGAGCCAATAAAACCATTTTTTTATTTCTTTGAGAAAATCAACAGCATATATAAGCCCTGAATCAAAGTAACAAAAGGCAGAAAGACAGTACTGAAATGAAGAAAGTAGAAAATGAAAAAGGGGGCATAAGGACAGACACCAAGGAAATCAAAAAGAATCTTTAAGTGGTTCTTCAAAAACCTATACTTTACAAAAACTTAATATAGAATGGACAATTTTCTCAATAGATTCCACTAACCAAAGTGAAATCAAGATCAACTAAATAAATTAAATAAGCCTATCTCCCCTAAGTAGAAATAATCATTAAAAGTACTCTTCCTAAAAAGCCCTGAGCCAGATGGTTTCAGTGAAGAATTCTACCAGACCTTCAAAGAAGTGCTATCTAAATCCAGTATTCTTCAAACCATTCCACAAAATAGAAACAGAAGGAACATTACCAACCTCATTCTATTAGACCACCATCACCTTGATACCTAAACTGCAGAAAGAGCCAACAAAGAAAGAGAACTTCAAATCAATTTCCCTTATGAACATTGATGCAAAAATACTCACTAAAATACTCGCAAACAGAATCCAAGAACACATTAAAGGTATCATCTGCTACCACTAAATAGGCATCATTCCAGGCATATATTGATGGTTCAATCTATGGAAATCCACCATGAAATGCATCATACAAACACACTGAAAGAAAAACAAAACAAAACAACCCATGATCATCTCCTTAGATGCCTAACAAGTATTTGACAAAATTCAACACCCATTCATGTTTAAAGTCTTGGAGATATCAGGAATACAAGGCACATACCTAAACATAGTAGGGACACTATACAGCAACATCAAACTAAATGGAGAGAAACATAAACCAATCCCACTGAAATCCAGGACAAGGCAAGGATGCCCATTCTCTCCATATCTCTTCAACATAGTTTTTGAAGTCATATAGCACACTGCAAGAAATTTATCCCATGGTAGCATTAGATTGTAGAATATAAAGAATTTTTATTTAATCTTTCAACATTTTATTGTTTTAAATAAAAGATAAAAAGTCCTGTTTCTTATAAAATTGCCTAAGGGTTGGCTTTTTTCAGTTTAATAAATAATAACAGATTCTCATTATTATAATAATGCTTCTTCCTTCTGACTTTTTATTTTTTATGAAAATTTTCATTTTTAAAATAACATATTTGCCTCGCTATATCTCTTTTTATTCTTCTTTCCGGACCTTCTCCTAGATCCATGTTCCATGTTATATTTATTGTCTCTCAAATTCATGGACTCTTTCTCATTAAATGTTGTATTTGTGTCTTTGTGTGTGTGTGTTTCTATTCATAAATACTACTTGCTCATTCTATGGGATGTTACATGTATATGTTATCACATGGTTGACCACAGGCAGCCATACTTTCACTTATGATGATTGGCTTTTTCTGCTATTGTTGATACTTGAAATGTCATCTATAATTGTTTTAATTGCAGTTCCATTTCTTGTGCATTGAGGAAAAAAATTACACATCTACTTTTCCTGGAGTTACTTTCAGGCACCAATCATTACATTTGTTTATTACAGAAATATAAATTGATCTTGGATAACTGGATATCTCACATTCAATGTGGAGCCTATAGCATGGATCACTGTAAGAGTTAAGATGGCCATTCTATGCACCAAAAGGAAGAATTTTTAAGTAGGTTGATTTTGACACAATAGGAAGAGAACTGCCACTCAAACCTTCACACATTGTGAGGAATCAGCAGTGGTTACTAATGGATTCAGGAATGAGTGAAAGAGCCATAAGGAAGAGTACTACCTTATGACACCACAGTCACTTCTTAGCTTTCCTGTTCTACATTCCCAAACAGTTTGAGGAAAGATATTATTTTTATACCTGTCTGGTTGGAAATGTGCTGCTCTGGACAAAATACACAAGAAAAACAACAGACAGGTCTTTCTTCTTGTAGAACTTTCCAGAATCCTGGACCACAGCTTTGTGTACATACAGATTGTGGAGTCTGAGGGCAATACAGAAAAACTGGTAGTAATATTTTACATTAATTTAAAATACTTTAGGCTAAATAGCTTAAATGCATACATCCTATGTAAAATCTATGCATTTATGAGGAACTCAGGGATTTTAATATGGGAGTGTAGAATGGAGTAATTTAGCACATTTCCCAATGCTAAATGTTCAACATCCCTTTATGGTGTCTAAGTTATGACTCACTTCTTCCTAGCCTTTGTGAAATGTGTACAATATCCATATATTCTCTCCTGTGAGGCAGCAAGCCAGAACTCATTTTTCATATAAATTATGGAACAGTTGGATTGTCAGACAGAAACCCACTCACTCCTGCCTCATCTATTTCTACCTTTACATTTCTAGTCCTGTAGTAATACCCACACACTCTCCTTCAGCTGCAAAAGGAAGTTCAATTTTCTCATGAAAGATGGTTTGGTCTTTGGTGAAATATGATCTATTACTGTGACTTTTACCCTTGACTCCCAATGCTAGGAATAGTTCTATGCCTTCTTTTCAAACATTAGTGACATTGTTACATACGATTTTTTCCAGTTGCACTTTAATTAATCACATTAAGTACTAAACTTCTAACACAACTTTAGTTTGTTATATGTTAGAAATTGTGTAGGAGAGGAACTATTTCTGTCTATTCTTAGACCTCTTTTCTGCCTTGATTTGGATTCAGTTTTTGTCTCATAAATATGAATATATTAACAGGAATATGTTTCTGGATAACTGGTTCAGAAGTTAAGAGTGCACACTGTCAGTTCCTGACACATATTTCTGGCAGCTTATATACATTGATTACAGAAATGGGTTGTATCTAAATCCATAGTTTATTGTTCATGCTAGTTCACAAACTTGGAAAATTATTGATATGCTTTAGTATAAATTGTGTGCATGGAAGGATGCTTGAGCATGATCATGCATGTATAATACAAAATATGTGATTATATACATAGGTTTGTATGCAAGTGCGTGTACACACAGAAAAAACCACACACTTACACACCTATATATATAACCAAGAACATTCATTCATTCACTGTAGCATGAATGAACACACACTGAAATTCAATTCATATAAATTTATGTATAGGAAGTAATTCTTTTTATGTATATTTGTATGTGCATATATAGATATACATAATTATGAAATGCTGGTTTATTTCTGAATTAAAGTAATCAAATAGGAGTGAAGAGTTGATTTAGTGTTTAACATGCTTGTCACATGAACATGAATACCTGGACTTTATCATGCAGAAGGGATGGAAATTATAGTTGATTGAAGAAAATATACCTGTAATAGGAATTTTGTGTTCATAAAGACAGTAAGAAAGTCAAAGAAATTCTGTCTACTGAATACTGTAAAATCAATAACCAAAGGTTTCAGAGAGAGAGAGCCTGATAAAAATATAAGGGTGAGCAACAGAGGAAGATAACCAGTGTTGGGTGTGGACCTAACAAGTATATGTGCTCAGTCACACACAAACTCACAATAACAATAGAGCTAAGAACATAGAATATATAAATCATTTTAAATTTTCAAAGAGACATCACACAATCAGGGAGACAAGGCACATACATAAACATAATAAAGGCAATGTACAGCAAGCCAATAGCCATCATCAAGTTAAATGTTCAGAAACTTCAAACGTTCCCACTAAAATCAGTGACAAGGCTGCAAATCTCACCATATCTCAATACAGTGCTTGAATTTCTACCTAGAGCAATTAAACAAGTGAAGGAAATCAAAGGGATATAAACTGGAAGATAAGAACGTGAACTACCACTATTTACAGATGATAAGTGACCCCCAAGATTCTAACACAGAACTCCTCCAGTGGCTAAAAAATTTCAGTGAAGTGTCTGGATACAAAATTAACTAAAAAAATTCAAAAAAATTCAGTTGCTTCTGTACACAAGCAACAATAGGGCTGAGAAATAAATTAAGGAAACAACACACTTTACAATAGCCACAAATACTACAAAATATCTTGGTGTAACTCCAACAAAGAATTTGAAAGACCTGTATGACAAGAACTTCAAGTATTTGAACAAAAGAAACTGAAGATTTTTCAAAGATGGAAAGATCTCCCATTATTGTGGATCAGTAGAATTTAGATACTAAAAACAGCAGTCCTGCTGAAAGCTATCTACAGATTCAGTGCAATTCCCATTAAATTTCAACACAATTCTTTACCAACCTGGAAAGTGCAACAATTAATTTCATATGGAAAAATAAAAGACCCAGATTATCCAAAACAATTCTGTACAATAAAAGAAGTTCTGGCAGTATGATCATCCCTGATTTCAAGCTATACTACAGAGCAATAGTAACAAAAATTGTATGATTTTGGCATAGAAACAGACAGATTGGTCCTTGGAGACAAACTGATGGTCTACCTGGATGCCTGCATGTAGAAAATGCAAACAGAACCTTATGTATGACCCTGCACAAAATCCAGGATGACTTTGACATAGACTTTGACATAAAACCAGAGACTCTAAATCTATTAGAAGACAAAATGGTAAAAAAATCTGGAACTCATGAGCATAGGAGACAATAGAACAACAACAGCACAGGCTCTGAGATCAACAATTAATAAAAGGGATCTCATAAAACTGAAAAGCTTCTGTAAGTCAAAGGACACTGTTGATAGAACAAAACGACAGCCTACAGATTGAGAAAAGATCTTCATTAACCCTACATCACATAGAGGGCTAATATCCAAAATATACAAAGAACTGAAAACAAACATGAACAAATCAAATAATCCAGTTAAAACATGTTGAGAATTCACAACAGGAATCTGAAATGGCTGAGAAGCACTTAAATGCTCAGTGTCCGTAGCCATCAGAGAAATGCGAATCAAAATGACTTTAGGATTCCATCTTAATCCAGTTAGAATGGCTAAGATCAGAAACTGAAGTGACAAGACATGCCAGAGAGGCTATAAAGGGGAACACTCCTCTGTTACTAATGGAAGCAGAAACTTGTACAACCTCTCTGGAAATCAAGCTGGCACTTTCTCAGAAAGTTTGGAATAGTTCTACCTCAAAACCCTGATATACCACTCTTGGGCAAATAGCCAAAAGATGATTCACCATTCAACAAGGAAATTTGTTCAACTATGTTCATTGAAGCTATGTTTTTAATAGCCAGAAACTGGAAACAACAGTTATGTCCCTCAAGCAAAGAAAGGGTAAAGAAATTGTACTATATTTACACAATGGAACAGTACTCAGCTATTAAAAATAAGGAAATCATGAAATTTGCCAGCAAATGTATGGAACTAGAAAAGATCATCCTGAGTGAGGTAACCCAGAAGCAGAAAGACACACATGGTATATACTCGCTTATAAGCAGATATTAGACCTAAAGTACATGATAAATATACTACAATCCATTGACCCAAAGGAGCTAAGTAAAAAGGAGGGTCCAAGGGAGGGTGCCAAAATGTCACTCAGAAGGGGAAATAGATTACACAGCAGAAGTGGGTGAAGAGGGGGAACTGGACAGGAGACTTAATTTGGAGGGAAACATGGGTGGGGATCAGATGTGGAGACAATGGAGGTGGAAGGTTCTAGGGCTGGGAACAAGAAGGGAACACAAAGGGAGTCATCGCTTTGTCAAGATGGAGGCCAGTGACAGTGTATGCTCCTGGAAGGATATGGGTGTGCCTCTAGCTGAGACCCCTAACAGGGAGGAAAACCTGAAGCCTGAACTGACCACCTCCTAGCCAGGCAGCACTAGTGAAGTGAAGGGAAAACAACCCATTAACAAAAACCTTGATCCAAAAATTACCCTTCCTACAAGTGGGAATAAAGAGGGAACAATGATTGAGGGTAAGTCCAACCAGTAATTGGCCCATCCTGAGACCCACTGCACAGTAGAGAGCCTTACAGGATAGTTGTCTGGGAGGCTCCACCTGGAGGGAACAGGAACAAGAACAACAGATGACTAACTCAGACCCATGGGAGCTTACAGAGACTGACACATTAACTAAGGAGCATGTATATGTGGACCTAGTTCCTCTGCACATATACAGACAATGAGTAGTTTGGGCTTCATGTGGGTCACCTGGCAAGTGGAGCTGGGAGGGAGGGTTCTAACCTGGACTTTATTGCCTGCTTTTAGAGCACTTCCCCCTGGCAGGGCTGCCTTTCCTGGCCTCAGTGGATGATGGTATACTAAGTCTTGATGTGACTTTATGTGTTGGAGAGAGTTGATATGGTAGGAGGGGAGATCCTTTATTCTTGGGGGAAATCAGAAAAGAGGGAGAGGGAGAAGCTAGGAGTTGAGGAGGGTGGGACCACCTGTGGGATGTAAAGAAAATAAACTGAAATATATATATATA